ACCTCATGCTACTTTCGTGTGGGTGTTACTGGAACTCAGAGGAAGTAGAAACCCACGACGAAACCCCCGTTTTGCTTGGATGCTCCTCCCAAATTACTAAGAATACATTAATTAAGCACCTTTCCCGTTGAAGCTCTTGAGTACCTTTCAGAGTCCATCCCAAACCCAAGGTCTGGAGTCCGTATTCCCCACCCGCCAAGGCTGGGTTTCCAGGGGAGAAGCATGTGGATGGAGTCAGCTCAGGGACAGCACACGGGGAAAGCTCTGGGAGATGATGGCATGGATGGTCAGAAAGTTTCCACGGCGAGGAGAGGAGAAACAAGCACTGACAGCATCAGGGTGGCAAGAATGTCTCACTTTCTATGGCATGGAAGCCAAGGACCCGAGATGTTAGGGTGACAAGGTCTCAGAAAGTGGGGGACAGAAAGGGAGAGAGTGAGGATAGCGTGAGTGAGAAGTAAGTGAGGTGAGCTTGGAGAGCTGGACCCAGAGAGGAGCCACATCAACCCGCGCCACTGTGTGGCTGGAGAACGCCTAAGCTTTGCAGCATTTAAACCTTGGCGTCCAGGAGGCTGGAGCCTGAAGGGAGCTGAGAGATCCTCTGGCCAGTGAATCTCAAAGCCTGGTCTGTGGACCACTTCTTCTGAATCACCTGCTGGGCTGGTTAAACACGTGCAAGTCTGGGACCCACCTGATTTACTGAATCAGACTCTCTGTGGGGTAAGCCTAAGAAGCTGCACGTTCATCAAGTTCCACAGGTGATTCTGATCGTTATTAAAGTTTGAGGGCCCTTGATCTAGTCCAACCATCTTGTTCTCTGGAAGTGGGATCTGAAGCCCAGAGAGGTAGAGCAACTAGCCTAGAGTCACAGAGCTAATTGATGGCAAAGCTCACACGGGAACTTTATTGCTCCTGACCCCTGAGCAGTGCTCTTCCCATTTCAACAAGCTGGCAGGGTCCTCACTTGTTTGGAGCTGTTTCCCTTGTGCCCTAAAGTGAAAAGCTGCACCTCTGATCCCTTCCTGCATCCTGCTGGGGCCTTCTCCTTCCTGAGGATGCTCTGGTCACAGCCTCTGCAGGCTGAGGGGCAGGGGCAGAAGGAAGAAAGGAGAAAGATCTAGTTCCCTTCCAAGCCTTTAGTATCAGGTGTGAGACTGGCAAATGAGACGAGAAGGAGGAAACCCACAGTTGTAGCTGAGAGCTGGAAGAGCTAACTTTCCTTGGGCATTTGCTGTGCTCAATACAGACACGGTATTAAACCCTTTCCATGCCTTAGTGCGAACTCCACCGAGCAAATAGTAATTAGCCCTATTCTGCAGATGAAGAAACTGAGGCTCACAGAGGAGTGGTGATTTGCCTAAGGTCACATAGCTAATAAGTGGCCACTTACAACCATGATCTGGGCATGGCCCAATGCAGTGGGAACTGTCACCCACTTTAACCCAACAAGCCTGTAAAAGGACCCTGAGACCTTGGGAAAGAAAAGAATGCTTCTCTGTGGTGGGATGTGATCGTTCCTGGGGGGCAGAACTTCAAACCCTTTCCACTCAACGCACTGAAAACATTCTTGAAAGGTCTGAGCTCACAAGTCTGCCTTAGAGAAGACAACACGGAGAGTAGGTTAAACGGCTTTTTTTCTTTATCTTTTTAAAATGGAAACTCCTGGTGTCAGTTTGCTTCCTTTCCGTTCGCCTCTTTCTCTTGAAAGAATGTGTCTTCAGAATTTCAGTTACTTGAGGGATTTGCTTGTGTTCAGTTCTGACCGAGCGCCTGGAGTGGCTGCAGGTGGATGTGGTCCATGGCGGGAAGCAGCCATCACCTCGTCTGATATCACGGCACATGACTTTGCCATGATCCCCTCCCTCCATTCATTTTCTGGAGTGTCCCCCAGGGATAGGAGAAGAAATCAAAGCAGATCAGTGCCTCGGAGAAGAGACAAGTGCCTCCCAAGCCGTATGGACAGCACGTCCCGTACCTTCCTTTAGGTTTACCTCCTAACCAGACCTCGGCTTCTTCCTGAGAAGAACTCAGGTGGCCTTTTCAACAATTCAGTCAGTAAGACCACCAAACAAAAGAAGATGGATATACTTTTACAGGCGAGGAAGGACTCAGTTTCATCCTGGTAGGATTTGGTGTCTGGCAGCCGAAGGTGAGGATAGCTATAATTTATTTCTGGATAATCCATAAATCACCAGAGTTAGGAACATTTTTGGGTGAAAACTGAGAATGTGTGACCCTCTGGTCATCTTCCTTCTCTTTCAAATCTCAAGCTTTAGATAACTCAAAGGCTGGTTGGGGCCATGTGACTGTAGAATGCTCTTATTAACTCATAAGGAAGGGAGTACACTGAGGTATGATAGCAAGCCGTAAAGGGAGGAGGGGAGAACGCGGCCTCTGCAAAGCTCTTGAGAAACGTAAGTCTCTGCAAGAGCCCCGGAAATGCTGAATGAAAACCGCCTTTCTGTGTGCGAGCTGCCTCCCTGCTTCCCAGTGCCGCGTCTGCAGTAACTACAAACTATTTTGTATGCTGCATTAGCGACGCTGCCTTAGCCGGCACCTCAGCACCATTGAAAGAACGCTGGTGTGATGTTCAAGTCCAGTGTCCTTTTTAATTATTAACCCGAGGCTGTTGAATGAGTCATTCCACCTACCAGATTTTCCTCCCGTGGTTCTATTTCGAGTGACTAGTATCTTAGCGTGTTCCACTGACACCTGAGTTGGTTCTTAGCCAGATACCCAATCTGCAAAGCCTTTGCACAACAAACAATATTCTCCGGTCTCCAAACACACACAGACTGCATTAAAAAAAAACAAAACCTACAAAAAACTTTACAGTTAAGCTCATCAGTAAACCCCAGACCCGAAACATGCCCAGTCCCCCTCCGCCAGTCCCCAACTTACCAAGTGGCAGAGCGATGAAGAAGGGGAGCCAACACAAGATGAACATGCCGACCACTATGCCCAAGGTCTTGGCTGCTTTCTTTTCCCTGGAGAACTTAAAAAGTTTGACAGCTATGGAACTCCTGGGGTTGTGGCCCTTGGCCTTGGCACTGCTGAGGGTGTCCTCGTGAAAGTTCTTGGAGTGGATCCTCAGGGTCAGCTCCTTGGAGTTGGACATCTCCTTCATGACTCCAGCCTCCAGGTTCTTGGTGGTCCTCTTGGCAACGATGTAGACCCGGCAGTACATGACCAGAATGACCGCCAGGGGGATGTAGAAGGAGCCCAAGGAGGAGAAGAGGGCGTAGAAGGGTTCTTCCGTGACCCCGCATTCCTTGTCATCGTTGGGTGCCGGTTCCTTCCAACCAAGGAGAGGCCCGATGGAGATGACAGTCGACAAGACCCAGACACTGAGGAGGGCCAGGATGGCCTTCCTCCGGGTGACCAGCGTGGGGTACTGTAGAGAGTAGCGCACCCCAATGTAGCGATCTATGGAAATGGCGCACAGGCTCAGAATGGAAGCCGTGCAGCACAGGACGTCCACGGCGGCCCAGATGTCACAGAAAATCCGCCCCAGCACCCAGTAGCCGAGCACCTCCAGGGCGGCCGAGAAGGGCAGCACGGTGAAGCTCAGCAGAAGGTCGGCGATGGCCAGGTTGACGATCAAGTAGTTGGTGGGCGTCCGCAGGTGACGGTTGCAGGCCACAGACAAGATAACTAGGATGTTGCCCACGATGGCAAAGAGGATGAAGGCGCCCAGCACCAGGCCCACGGAGACGGCCCTGGTGATGTCCAGTTGGGGCAGTGTGGAATTGCTCGAGGTCTGGTTGGGGCTAGTGAAGTTGGCATCTTTCAACTCTCCCCAGTGGGCAGGTGCTGATGTGTTGTGGCCGGGGTCCAGATCGGGATTCATTTTAGAGTCCGCCCTCCATAGCCAGGGAGGTGAGAGGGCTCGGAAGGGCTGCGGCGAAGGCTCCTCAGCTGCCCTGAAACTTTGCTTCCCCCGTAGTCCTCTTCCCAGAGGCGCCCTCCCGGCCAGAAGTCATCTCCCCGGGCAGCCCAGCCCGGCAGCACGTCTCCTGCCTGCACCGAGCCGCTCGCTCGCCTGTCAGAAGGAGGAGGAGGAGGAGAGAGGGGACGAGGCGGCAGCTCCAAGTTTAATGGTCCACGTCAGGCGCGCCGGGCCGGGCTCGCGGGGGAGCGGCGGGAGCCGGGGGCGGCGGGGCAGGGGGCGCCCGGCTCGGCCCGGCCGCGGCGGGTGTGCGGGCGGCGGCGCCTCCGCCCAGCCAGCGCCGAGGAGGGTCTGCTTTCAATGAGCCGCCTCTGGGCTGACTGCACGGCGGTGACATCAGGCGGGGGAGCCCGGCGCCCTGACTCCGCGCGGCACTAGGGGGCAATGCGGGTCCAGCGAAGGCGCCCGCAGCCCCGACGCCGCCGCCGCGGTCCCCCACGCAGGCCGGCCACGCCCCCAGGGCAGGCTCGGGGGGCGGGCGGGAAAGAGCGACCTGAGCGTGGGGATCCCCTCGTCCCCCACCCCGAAGTGGCCCGCTCAGATTCTTTTCCCTCCTATTTCCTCTTCAGTTCCCAAAGTGAGGTGGGGGTGCTTCTAATAGGGGGCGTCTGGAGCCAGCCCCCAGATTTAGGGAGATGGGCAACTTGTGTGGCCCCTAGAAGAGGAAGAATTCCAAGGTTAGGCGAGTGAAGGGGACTCGAGTCAGATCGAGACCAACCCCCATCCTTTCCCTCCCTGTGAAATCTCTCCGGTCTCATAATAAAACTCCGAGGCGTCTCTTCATTCATTCTTCATTCACTCACTCAGACACTAATTCACTCATTCATTCAAAAAGTTGTTAGTCCAGTCCCCGCCGTCTGCCCTGGGTTCTGTTGTAGGCGCGGTGGGCCTAGCAGTTGAACCAAGCAGACAAAGACCCCTGGTCTCCAGGAGCTTACATGGTAGTGGGAGGAGACAGACAATAAACAAGTAAGTAAGCAAATTAATTATGAGGTGTGTCCTATGCTGACAGGTGTAACAGAGAAAATAAGGCGGGGGGGGGGGGTGGGGAGGGATGGAATGGTGTGTGTGTAGGGGGCCATTTGAAATTTTAAATGGGTGCTGAGGATGTCACTGAAGTGATATTTGAGTCAAGATCCAAAGGAAATGAGGAACAAGCTAGTGTGCTATGGGAGGTGAGTGTGATGGTGGTAGTGGGGGAGGCTTCTGGGGAAGGGACTTGGGGAATCTGGAGTATTTGTTGATTTTTTTCCCTTTCTGCCCAATATCTATGTTGGACATTCAGCTATAGGAACACGCTCCCAAAGGAGAGAAGTTATGGGCAAAGATACAGAGGGAGAGCCTTCTGTTAGGTGACATTATTTTCTTTTGAAGATTTTATTTTCCCTTTTTCTCCCAAAGCCCCCCGGTACATAGTTGTATATTTTTTTAGTTGTGAGTCCTTCCAGTTGTGGCGTGTGGGACGCCGCCTCAGCATGGCTTGATGAACGGTCCCATGTCCGTGCCCAGGATTCGAACTGGCGAAACCCTGGGCCGCTGAAGCAGAGCGCGTGAAGTTAACCACTCGGCGTTAACCACTCGGCGGTGGGGCTGGCCCCTGTTAGGTAACATTTATCCAACGGCTAAGTACTTTTTGCATTTTCTCATGACCCTGTGAAAGAAGGACTATTCTCATCAGCATTTCTGTTTTGTGGATCAGACATCAAGGTACAGGGAAGTTTAACTCTTTGCCCAAGTCCACACAGCCATCAAGGAGAGGAGCTGGGACTTGAAGCCCAAGGTGCATCTATCCAAAGTTGAGCACTGGGCTGCTGTGTCACCCTTTCCCCCCAGGAGCAAGGTAGGGGTGGATTTTTTCCCCCCTGGATTTATTGAGCTATAAATGATATAGAACACTGTGTATGTTAAGGTATACGACATGTTGATTTGATATACATATATTGCAAAATGCTTACCATCACAGTGTTAGCTAACACCTCCGTCACGTTACATAATTACAATTTCTTTTTTGTGGTGAGAACATTTAAGATCTACTCTCTCAGCAGCTTTCATGTGTATAAGACAGTATTGTTAATTATAATCACCATGCTGTACATTAGATCCCCAGAACTTATTCATCTTCTAACTGGAAGTTTGTACTCTTTGACCAACATCTCCCCATTTCCCTTACCCCTCAGCCCCTGGTAACCACCACTGGACTCTATGTTTCTGTGAGTTTGGCTTTTAGATTCCACATATAAGTGATATTATACAGTATTTGTCTTTCTCTGTCTAACCTATTTCACTTAGTATAATGCCCTCAAGTTTCATCCATATGGTTGCAAATGGCAGGATTTTCTCCTTTCTCTGGGCTGAATAATATTCCGTTGTGTATATATATATACACCATATCTTCTTTATCCATCCGTCTGTTGATGGACACTTAGGTGTCTTCCATACTTGGCTGTTGTGAATCATACTGCAATGAACATGGGAGTGCAGATATCTCTTTGAGATCCTGTTTTCATTTGCTTTGGATGTTTACCCAGAAGTGGGATTGCTGGATCATGTGGTAGCTCTATTTTTAATTTTTAAGAACTCCCTATACTGTTTTCCGTAGTGACTGTACCAGTTTACATTTGAGGTAGAGGGTGGATTGATTGTTATAGATGAAGTTGTCTTCCAAGTAGTAAATTTTGGGACCTGAGCTACTAGTGCTGGGAGGGAACTCACATTTATTGAGCTCCTATTGATAGCCACGCGTTTACTCATTTTCCTTTACTCTTTACAATAGCCCTTTGAGAGGCATAACCATTCTCTATCGACAGATGAGGAAACGGTGGTTCAGGGAGAGTTAGTACATTCCTGAGGTCACATGGCTAATAGACACGTGGTAGAGCAGTGGGCAGTGACAGGTGGAGATTGACAGGTAAAGCCTATGTCTCCTTTTACTCCTGCCCAGAAGGCTGCGTCTAGGGCTTCCTCCCTCCTGCCCTTGATAATCACTATCACCTGATATTCAGGGGTGGGGAAACAGGAAGTCACCCAAGGTGATTTCCATCTTAGCTCCTCACCCCAGAGGCAGGTTCTTAACCTGTTTTTATTTTTTGGAGGTGGGGGTGGCCAGGTGGTTATCACACACCTGTCTAAGGTTTTAATCTTCTCCCATCAGAATGCACAGACTCCCAAATTCACAAACTAGACAATTTCAAAGGGTTCTTTGAGATTAAGAAACTTACGGTGGAGAGAGTGCTGAAAACAGATTTTTTCTATTTCAGTTAAACTGGCTTAAGTCATGTTTGAAGATGGTAAAATAGGAGATTCACAGGTTTATAGTGATTTAACTCTTCAAGAACTATCACAACCCTGGTTGTCCATCTTCCCATTTTGGAGTTGGTCCAGGGGCAGAGGGAGTGGCGAGCTCCCACTGCTGGTCAGGTGGAGAGCTGGTTATCACACTCCGTTTCCCTGGCCCACAGAGCAGTGCTCCTTCCTCTGGCCCAGTGGGAAGCCTCGCATGACAGCCGATCATGACACACAGTGGGAACGTGAGACTGGGGCAACCTAGGCAGCCCGCTGCCAGGGGTCGTCATGAAGAGGAGAGACTGTCCTTGGCCCTGGGCGCCTCATGTACTAATCTGTCTGGCTGGGCTGCATGATCTTTTGAGGACTTCTAGCTTCAGGTGGTCAGCCTCCCTTGCTGGATAAAGTGGCCCCAGAAGGCAACCCCATTGCCCTTCTTTCATGCATCATCCACAATGGTAATGGGAGTGAGGTGTCATACAGAGTTCCCACCATTCCCATAGGTCTTCAAGTCTAGGATGATGGCGTTTCTCTTGAACTGGTTTACTCCCAAGCTGGAGCGGGAGGAGGAAAAGAATGCCAGTAAGTTGGCAGAAAGCTGCCGATTAGCACGAAGCAAGGATGTGGGAGGGAAAGAGTGGGACAGAATGAGGAGCAAGTTCTGAGTCCACATTTCGATTGTGGTGGCCCATTTCCCACTTCCCTGGGCATTAATTTCACCAGCTATTGAGCAGCCAGCAACACGCTATTGAATTTACGGGGGCTGTGTCTACATAATCACAGTAAGCAGCTGCAATGTGAAAACTCAGCCTATCAGACATTTCTCTATGGTGGCAAAAGGCCAGGAAATAAAAAAGAGCAAATGTGAGATTCAGAGTTGGTTTATACTTGTTATGAAAGAAAATAGTTTGTTACCTAGATGAGAACTTATGTCTTGATTCGGGTGTCAGAATGTGGAAGAGATTATTGAGCCAGATCTAGAGGATCAAAATCCTTGTAGATTTCAGACACGTTGTCATTTACTAGCATCTTTCACGAAGTAGAACAAACTTCCCACCGTAAGGCGAACAGGTATTAGCCTTAAGAGCAGCCATGGACCAGGACTCCACTAAACAACCTTTGCTAATGGTCTTTTCTTTGCTGCTCCTCCCTTCCCTTCACTGGAGATATCTCTTAATCCCCCTGGTTGATATTTGACCCACGGAATTGACCGTTTGTTTAGGTGTCATGAAAATACAGACCATATTTCATTGTCTCGGTCCTCTCTGGGACACAGCCAAGCACAGAGCTCTGACTCACTGGAGGCTTGGGGAAGAAGAACCTTTTCATTATCCGTCTGATTACATTAGAAGCCTCTGATGTTGCAAACTCCCCTTTCTGTGAGCCCTCCAGGAGAAGCTGCCGCTGAGTTTGACCTGTGGGGAGCCCGAGGCTATGGGAGACTCAGAGATCTGCCTAGGCCATCTATGGGAGGAGACCTCTCACTGGGGATCACGCAGTTTTGTGTGGTTCTCCCTCTCTAGCTCCCTCCAGTTTTCAACTCAACCAGCCGCATACGGGAGCATCTACTCTGTGTAAGCACCATGTGAGGTGCTGTGGGCAAATCAAAGATGAATTAAACCAAGCAAACAAAGCCTACCACCAAGCTAGGTGACATGGAGGATGATGATGATGGTAACGCACCCTTTAGAGAGTACCTATTATGTGCCCCACACGGTGCTAGGTACTCTGTGTGCATTTATTCAAATCTTCACCACAAGGCAAGGTAGGAATTATCCCCATTTTACAAAGGGGGAAACTGAGGCTCAGTGAGGTTCTGTGACATGCTCAAGCCCCTTCAGTGAGTAAGCAGCATTGGTATTCGAAGCGTTGTTGTCTGGCTCCAAAGCTTGTATCCTTTTCTCTGCACCAGACTGAGATTTAAAAAAAAGAGAGACAGCAGAAGGTTCGGTGTTAGCCCTGGAGGAAATTACAGCAGAAGACAGAATGTGATCAGGGTCCTGAGCGAGGCAGAGGTCAGGGAGGGGACAGCAAGGCAAGGATAGGCTAGAAGTTTCCACAGGGGCGCTCCTCAGGTCGGGCTTCCTTGTCTCCCAGACCAGCACTTGGTCTGCGAGGAGTCGAGAGCTGACTTGGATTCTAATCCCCCTTCCATCATTTAATAGCTACTAATGCGACCTTGGGCAGGACAGTAAAGTGATGGAGAGCCTGAACACTGGAATAAAACAGACCTGAGTTTATGTCCCAGTTCCACTAATTTATTAGCTGTGTGTCCTTGGGCAAGTCACCTAACCACTCTGAACCCCAGTTTCTTCCTTTGTGAAATGAAGATCATCATAGTCCCTACCTCACAGGGCTGTAGTGAGGATTAAATTCGATAATGTGTGTAAAGTGCCCAGCACAGAGTAACAACATCAGCCAAGAGCTATTAATTGCTTACTAGGTGTTACACATTGTGCCAAAAAAGCCTTAAGAACATTATGTCATTTAATCTTGATAATATTATGAAGTAGATGCTATTATTATTGACATTTTATAGATGAGGAAACTGAGACTCAAGACCCAAGGCCACGGCACTAGCAGGTGGAACAGCTGGAATACAAAGCATCCCACAAATGAGGCTAAAAATGAAGAAAGAATTGGAGGTGGGAAGCATCTTCTTCATAAGGTACACTGGGGTCTCTAGGGGCTTGAAGGAGAATTTTCGCCCCTTCTGCAGCCCAGGTGGGAGAGATGAGAAGCACCCTTTCTTCTGGGCAGACGACACTGGCTGCAGCAGTGGCATCTCCTCTGCCTCCTAAGGCAGCAGGTCAGAGGTCCCAGGAGTGAGGGATTCCAGCTCCCTCCAGGCAAGCCTGCTTTTCTCTCTGGTCATTACAATTTGTCAATCTTTGGTGAGTGCAAATTCCCCCAACCCAGAAATTCCAGTCGCACCGCACTTCCCGGTAAGGTAGAGAGAGTTCAGTGGCAGCCCTTTGCAGCAGGCTGGTGAATATTCATTGCCAAGTCATCCAGGGGCTGAATCCACATCACATGTTAGGGGAGAACCTGGGAGCCTTGACTTGGGGGCGAGGGTGTGAGGGCGCAGGGCACCAGAGCATGGAGTGTGAAAGTCTGCTGACTCTGGAGCTGGAGAACGGGTCCCTTCTTCCTTATGGTCCCCCCAGCTCCTCTGGTGGGACAAGGGAAAGAGATCGCCATCCCCGACCTACCGCGCTGCCGAGTCCAGGGTGAAGGGGAGTGTGCGCCCTTTTCTTGAATGACTCTGGCTCTTCCTTATGGCCATGGGCTTTGCCCATCGCTTGACTCGTGATCTTGTGGCGACCCCAAAATTTCTCTAGCAAGGGTCTTTAAGTTGCACTCTGGTTTGAAGCTGGACATGTAGCTGTGTTTGCCCGATGCCCTCCACAAGACAGATGTCGTTGTCCATGTCAAAGACCCAGGGCAGGGACCTGATGGAGATTTTAATGGGGCTGAAGCTCTCCCAAGCTGCCTTTGTATTGCCACTGCCCGGATTGACTTTCTAACCGTATTTGTTGAAACCATCAAAGGTTAAAGCAAAAACATAACAAAACAGACCTTATGGCGATAGGCTCCTTACAGCTGACTTTTCAAGGCACTGGCCTCTCTGGGCTGCACTACTGCAGTCGGGATCACAGACTCCAGGAATGTCAGAATCAGAAGGACCCTAGAGATCCTCTAGTCCAAGGGTCAGCAAACTACAGCCCGTGGGACAAATCTAGCCTTGTGCCTGTTTTTGTGAATACAGTTTGTTGGAACACAGCCACGCCCATTCACTTAGGTATCGTCTGTGGGTGCTTTCATGCTGCAATGGCGGAGTTGAGTATATGCAACAGAGACAGACTGTCCTGCAAAGCCTGGAATATTCACTCTCTGACCCTCCATAGAAAACCTTTGCTGACCCCTCATCTAGTCCAAGCCTCTTATTTTACACTTGGGGACACAAAGGCCCAGAAAGGGGAAGGGTTCTGCCTAAGGCGGAGCCAGGGTCAGCAGCCCCGGAGACTCGGTTCCACCCCCATGACTCTTTCTTGCCACTGCTGTCCTCTGTGTCTGCAGCCTGGCACTGTAGGCTCTGAAGAGTTCGAATCCCAGCTTTAGTTGACCAGATGTGCGACCTTGGGCAAGCTACATAAACTCTCTTGGCCTCCGTTTTTTCACTTGAGACCTAGGGATAACACCTCCTATTCCCTGAGTTAATGCACATATTAGGCTGTTCTGAGAACTAAAGGAACCATAGTCTGTAAGGCTTAGGCTGGGCCCTGGCTCATAAAAAACGCTCAACCAAAGACAGCTACTATTGTGCTGATGTCGTCCGTGATTTTGTATTTATTAATCTTATCCCTCCCATTCTAAGTTTCATAAGGGAAAGAGCTGTCCCTTACTGGCTCTTTAACTTTTTGGGTCCTAGACCTTATTGAGTACCTACTGAAAACTGTGGACACGTTGTTTTACTCCTTACTTTGCCTACATTCCTTATAGGGGCTTCCTCAATGCCAAGCTCCTGGCAGGCCCTCTGATCAATTGGTCTCCACTCTGTTGCTTCTTATTTTCCTTGCCTGAGCCTCTCTCCTGCCAGCTCTATCTCGGTGCATCCTCTTTTACTCTCAAGCAACAGAACTAATCCAGTGTTTTACCATTCATCACAGAGCAGAATTTGAACTGAATAAGGTGAGTGGACGCCAGCCTCTCTTGTCGTTTCAGAGTTCACAGCCTAAGATGAATAAGTGGAATGTGCATCTGAGGATGCACTGAGAATTCTCTCTGACATTGATCAGGGATGCGAGTTAAATAAGGAAACAAATAAATACATGACGTACGTCTCAAATTTCCCCATCCTTTCTCTTCTTCTTCTTTTGTACTCTGAACCAAACCATCCCACCCTTTTGGGCGATTTTCACTTGTGGTGGCCATCAAGTTCAGAAAGGTCTAAAGGAAGTGGTGGGAACCTTTTTCCTTGGGGGCATCTAAAAATTGTATCTGGACAAAGTGTTAGAGCCCAGCTTTGGAGAGGAAAGACCAGGCCCCTGGGGAGCAACAAGGAAGTGATGTCAGGGGGTGATTTCTGCCTTCTCATTGCCATTTTCTGGCAGAGGTGACAGGGTAGGACCCTGGGGTTGGGGTGGGCAAGCTTGGGAAATGGCGTGTGGCATCCCAGGGCCCCATGGGCACGGCAAAGGAGGGAGGAGTGTGAGAAAGACGCAGTTTTCTTTGCCCATCTCTATGGCGTACTGAGGAATGCTGGGACAGGAAATGCCCAGCGTTTCTCAGCTGTTTACTGGACGCCAAACAGACAGATTTGGAAGGTTGCCTTGGGAGTCCTGAAGAGATGAAGGGAGAAGGAGGAGGAGCCTTGATTTTTCTGCCTCTTGTGGGACTGCCCTGGTAAGTGCTCGGCGGGGTGGGGTATGGGGAAGATTTTGTGGAAACTTCTAGACAGGAGCAAGCTGGTATAATGGCAGTTAGCTGCATGTTGTGAATTGCAGCTTCCTGGAGGGGCCTCCAAATACCTCCCCTGCCCTTGGGAGTGCTATCCATTGAAAGCTAATTAACTTTGACTGAGTGCACTTATGCACTAGGCATTGTGCTAAACGAATTCACAAGCGCCATCTCATTTAATCCTCCAAACAACTCTTTTGTGGAAGACATTGTTGGCTCCAATCTACAGGTGAGGATGCTGAGGATAAGAGAGATTACTTACCTTGCCCAAGATGACTCAGAGATAGGATTAGAGTGGAGTCAGTTTGACTCAAAGCTGATACTTTTCATTTCCCAGATAACCCAAATTTGGCTGTAGGCTGACCTCGCTGCTAAACAAAACTACAGGAATTTCTGGGCAAACTTCAGCAAACCAGGGACATAGATTCAGAGAAGCAGAAGTCGTTTTGGACCATATGCTACTGCACGACACAAACATGAACCCTTCTCTGGGGTGGGGTCCAAGGAGTATATGGCTCCTCCTAACCTCTCCCTAGGAAGCTCAAGTGAGCTCAGGGGCTTGTGTCAAGTCTTAACTCTTCCAGGGAGAAAAGTAGGGGACCTGCTCCGATAATAGTCTCTAAGGACTACTAAGGTTATTGACCCCATGATGGCACCCAGCTGTTGTCTATCTCAGAGAAAGAGAGAGCATAGATATACACTCCAAAGACAGCATGAGAGATGCCAGTTTGACCTAAGGAAGTAGCTTATTCAACATCAGATCAAATTGTAGTTCCTGCCACTTCCTCGCTCTGTGGCCTTGGGCCAGTTGCTTCATTTATTTATGCTTCTGTCTGTTTCTCTGTAAAATGAGGGTGAGAATGGTATTCACCCCATTGAGTTGTTGTCAGGATTAAATGAGACTTTGTCTGGCACCTGGAAAAGTCTCAATAAATACTAGCTATTGATATTTTGTATCATCATAAAAACATACAACAGGTTTCTCAGTATGGGGAGTATTAACATACAGATTTTCCTAGTTGATTTCTCAGTGATACCTCCAACCCTTTACTTGCCAATTGATGTCACTGATTCTTTTTTTCCTCCTCTGATATAAATAGCCCTAAACAAACAGTGGCTGGAAAAATAACAGTAATACAAGTAATAATAGCTAGCATTTGTTGAGAACTTACTGTGTGCTAGGCTTGCGTTATGTGCTTTCCATGCATTCTCTCATTTTAGCACAAGAACCCTATCAGGTAGGCAGATATAATGTATCTGGCTGTTGAGATGCACCTGAAATTGGCTCTCCCACACCTAGAGAGCCCAGGGCTTGTTGGAAATATTTCTTCACGTGGAGAACTCCTAGCGAGGTTGGAGCCCAAGCCAGTGCTGGTGTTGGTGGGCTTGGGGAGTGGGGTGTGGTGGGCAGTGGGCCCTGTGAGCTCTCTGTGCAGAGGGAGAGGGAAAGGGCAGGTAGGCAGCCGGCTCCCAGCCTATAATTCTCAGCCACCGGTACAATTAGTGTCAACAGGAATTTTCCTTGTGTATCCTACCAAAGAGGCTCACAGACTATAAACCATCATATCAGAAGCTGACCGTTTGTGCCCTAGAAAAGCGAGGAAGGAAGGGGTTGCATGTGAACCTCCCCCTGCCCCCGATACTGCAGAGGGGACCAGATCCATGAGAAGGGGAAGAAGAGAAGGAGGGAAAAGGGCAGGGAGCAGACTCCAGTGAATACATATTTTCAATTAAATTCCAGGGGTTGAGTGGAGACACGAAAAAGGAAAAAAAGCATTCTGTCTGGAGCTGTTTTCTCTCAAATCAAGCTGGGGAACTCGTCCCTGGAACAGCTGGACCAGCTCCAAGTGTGAAAGTTCGGTCCTTTGTTGTCGCCTGAAAACTTTAGAACGTTCCTTCACTCAGTCTGGGGGACTGCCCACGCTGCCCCTTCTTGGTGCTACTCCACTGGGAGCCTGGGAATTTAGAAAGAAATATGGAGCCGCTGAGCAGGCAAGGTCTGCCTAATGCAGCTAGTGATGCTTAAACTTTTCCGGGTATGAGTCACCTAGAGGGAGCCTTAAAATGCAGATTCCTGGGTCCCAGCCCCAGATATTTTGATCCAGTAGGTCTGCAATGAGGTCTAGGAATTTATATTTTTTATAAGTAACCCAAGTACTTCTACTGCAGAGGACCGGCAGACCACATTGTGAGAAACGTCATTTTCAT